TTGCGTTCATTTGAACGTAAAGATAAGAAACCAACAGTAATAGTTACATATAATTGGAAAATAAACTAATCTGTGCTCTTGGTCATCAAATTTTGAGGACGTTATTTAGTCATCATTATAATTTCTTAATGTCGAAGACACATCTAGTAAAATTAATAAGCTATATGTATGTGTGTATTTATGAACTATGATGTATAGGAAGCGTGAGCGTAATGAGAATAATGATCATGAGTAGTCTTGTTTTTCCAGGTGTGTTCAAGTAGAATCCGCCATCGTCTTCCGGTGGAATCGACTTTAAAATATCACCACACACGCTTTGACTTTAAATAGAAGTGAGTTCGAAATTCGTAAATCGAAAGGTTTCTTATCTAATTATTCAACTCTATGACTGACGCTTCCGCAGCTCTACCAACACCCACACACAATTACTTAATTCGACATGATGTCTCTCAAGCAGCATAAAAGTCTAAAGCTCGGACCGCTATCACCGGAAACGAAGGAGGATTCCTCCTGGACTGCATCAACCTGAACCTTATCATAATACCCGATGATGACATAGAAAGAGGATTGTTAGAGGGACCTTCATCTCGTATGAAAGTGCATGAAGAAGAGATTCGTTGGTCGATCTCACCAAATGAGGACTGATGAAACGCGTTGTACTGCAGCCGGTTGGATTGTATAGGATATTCATGTTGACGCAGTCCACGGGACTTATTCGTTTCGGGTGAAAACGTGCTGAGCTTTCGTACATCATATGATGGACATCGTCAGAGCTGGGCGTCATTCTTGTAAAAGTCAAATCTTAACACTAACAATGTTATCTCAGGAGATTCATCGAAACCCAGTTTTTCTTCGTATCTACATAGAAAGAGGAATCCGCAGTTTTCCAGTGGTAAGATTGGCCAATGAACCTCCACATTAATCACACAAACACATAAAAATCACCACAAGCGCAATCAAAAACCCTCCTCTAAGTCGGTAAAGGAAACTTGAGGCCTATTTTATTCATAGTGATAAAATTTGACTATCAGTCCTTCATCACCAGATACAGCATAGTATAACCGAACCTCTTATCAACTGATATTTTCCGAACCTACTAAACATGAATATAAGTAGGGTTGTCAATTGTAATGGAAAAATACAAGTTTTTAAATAAAAACTGTATCCACCCTATTTCGTAAAAGGTGATTAAGGACACGCTGCACTATCTGGGTTCGATTCCCATCGGGGATACCGGTGAAACCCAAGCGAGGTCGAAACTGCCGTCCAGTTCGACCGGGATGAGAGTACCATTTTGGAGGCAGAGCTAAGCAAAACTGATATGTGAGATGTGTTCACCCTATTTAGTTTAAGATGATAAGGGACTGGTAGTTGAAATTCCCCACAATGATATGATTAGACCTTAGGTATCGAATGAATTTTAAAGAGTCTTGCTGTCCCAAAAGTTATTCACATCCAGTGGTTTTGACTTCGCCTAGGTCTTATGAATACCCTCAGCGGGACTTGAACCATGAAAGTGCAGTGTATAATCCCAACATGTTAACCGCTACGCCACATTGCCACTAGTGCTCTTGAGTCACAGGGTGGATGTGAATTTGAAAGAAGGTCAGACCTTTTTCCATATCACATTCTGTGGTGGGAGTGTCGGAGAAGAAAACCTATATTTGCTATAGCAATCGCCGACTATCGGTTCACTGGTAATCTAGGAAACCTACTGAAAACGAAAAAAAAATAATAAAATTTGATAGAAACGCTAGGTCTGTTAATATCAAAGTGGAAAAATTCAGCTGTCAGCCATTCATCATCTGATATGTCTTGGAAGTTCTATTTCGAATAAAAGACTAGGAAAGACCAAATCTGAACTAATTACCTGATAGTGGATCATAAGATGCTTGAACGGGTTGAGCTGGCGGAATGAGTTGTTGTTTCTGCTGTTGCTGCTGTTGATGATTACGATAATGGTGATAGTTATGGTGATGTTGTTGTTGTTGTTGTTGTTTATTTGTGGCTGATGTTGAATTCAAACCCGAGTAGCCTGAACTGGCTGCTGCAGCCGCACAGGCTGCAGCAGCACATGCAGCCTGCATCATCGACGAGATTGAGGCGGCAGCCGCCGCCGCCGACGTTCGCGGTGGAGGTGGCGGAGGTACAGACGCAGTCGCATGTGGAGGTGGTCTTACGAGAGCTCGATCGGTCGGTAGTGATGCTCTGCTCGGTTGACGAGGAGAATCGCACTGAAAGACTGCCGATCGACTGGTGGTGGTGATGGTGTTGTTGTTGTTGGTGGTGGTGGTGGTGGTGGTTGCGGCGGCAGCTGCTACGGCAGAAGCCATTGAAGCACTGTTGAGGTTGGTGAG